CCAATACGCAATGGCTGTTCTGGCTCATATGGCCAAGTCATGGGCCGCCGCCCAAGTGGCGCTGGAGAATGGTGGGGAGCGACAGCAGCCCTCTGCCCCCCTGTTCAAGGGCTCCCACATTTTGGATGTACCTGGTCAACATTTGGAGGGAAATAAAGTCTGCCAATGTGAGAATGCTGCGCACTAAAGACGAAGTACTTCGGCAACCGTTGTTCTGCAACCACTGCCAACTGTTGGTGCGAATAACTGACACGAGATGTGTCAGTTATCCGCTCCGTGTCAGTTATCCGCACCAGTTATCTGCGGAAATCATGTCAGTTATCCGCGCCAAGTGGATAACTGACACGCGGAAGAGATCGCGGACCCTCACAGCGACAGACACGAGATGGGTCTCCTAGTCGGAAAAAAAGGGTGTGTGGCACGTCACAGATGGAAGATGCATAGTGCGTTGAGAGAAGCGCTGCTAGGCTGTCATCATTGGAGCCATTGCTGGAGCAGATAAAGAGTGTATGCTCGTACCATCACTCCTATCTGCGACTGCCGGTGTTTCGAGAACAAAAAAACAAAAAACAAAAAAATCTTCAAGCTAACCTCAATGGCATGCTGCTCTCCATTCGGCGGGAATGGAGCGGCATGATGCAGAGACCGGCGGAATGGGAGAGAGCGGAGATTGGGCCACGACGCGGAGTGAGTCAAAGCTGGGTATGGCCCTAGCCTTTGCTGCGGAGGTGACGCAGGATGGTCTGTGGCTCCTGTTTGACATGCATGATATTTGCACTCCAGGGGCAACAACGAACCTGGTGGCCAAGAGCTGCTGGGCTCAGCTGGTGGTAAAGATGGATCAGCAGCTGTGCATCCTTTTCACCATTTACAGACCCATAGTGGAGATTCAAAACCTGGAGATTGATCCCACTGGATGGATAGGCATGGAAGATCGGACGGCAACCGAGCACACTGGCAGCCGCTCGGAGCTTCAACCTGCTGCAGTGCGCCACGAAGCTAGGTTACAGATTGCGAGGCAGATCAATAGCTGTGCGCGACATCATTGCATCTAGTGGGCGAAATACACAGCTATCGTATTTGATGGTCAGCGTGACATTCCTTGGAGGCTGGAACTCGGTCCTCGCAATCAGAAACACGTGGATCAGAAGCATGCAATGGCTGATCATCTATCTCGCCCTTCCGGTCAACCAACGGCTAAGCAAGCGTACAACGGCGAGACCCCATGGACGACCTCTGCGCCATATGTAAGACGGGTCAAGTTGAGTACATACTGCATTGCTTAATCCAATGCCCCAGGGCTCATGAGATATGGGACAGGCGGCCCTGTAACTTAGCATCACCGGTGTGACGCTCCCGGAGGGGGGGGGGGGGGGCGCAGGGAATTCCAGACTCTCAAGGATTTCGCTAACACGGCCGGCTTGGGAGCATACCAGCGCAAACTGTTTCAGAGGCTGCAGCCTCTGTCATTCCTGACGATGCCGGAAGTGGTAGAGAGGAAACAGCAGCCCCTGGAGCAGACATCGGGCAGCGCTGTGTCACTTGCTAGAGGCAGAGTACTGGGTCAATTGGAACAGCACAAGGAGATGGATAGAAACCCGGACAAAGCGCAAGTCATCCGCCAGGAGTTCTACACCAAAACGCTCAGAGCGGGTAGGATAGGCACCACAGAGAGGAACACAATCCCGTTCAGCTGGCTCTGCAAAAATGGCCAATCCTGCTACAGTCGGAGAGGACCCGGGAGAGATCTCGATTGGTAGCCAGCCTACACCAAGCAGGTGTAGTCCAGCGTCCGGCTAGCCGGATAGGTGGACCAGAGGTCCCATTAACTGCGGGGCAACTGCTCTGGCTCAGCCGTCTAGCTGATTCTGATTGCAATCCCACAGCCTGAGCACTTAAACCCCTGGGGTTTCCGGCTCTTTTGAGCCATCTCGCCTGCATTCTCATAAGAGGGGGAGAGGGATGATGATGCCGGTTCTCCTTTCTGAGCATCTGTTAACAGACTGAGATAGGAGCGCAGAGAGATCGAGATTTAGATAGCAACCTGGCACAAGTGGTTAACGGGGACCCCCACTTTCAGGCCCTGGGTAACGGGTCCAAAACTGAAATTAGCGTCTCCGTTAACCTTCTCTCCAACCTGGTAGAGCCTCGCGGCGCACTGTAGAGTGGAGGTACTCTTCTTGGTCGCAGGCAGTCATTCCCCTGGCGACAGGGCAATCTTTGCCGCCAAGAGGATGAACCCTGCATTTGATGTAAATGTCACGTTTTGAGTAACACAATAGGATGCTGGGCCCGGTTTCCAGCAGGTGACGCTCCCCACCCATAGAAAGGAGCCAACGACAGAAGTTTACCGTTGAGGGATGCTCTTATCACCCCCAACAGTAAATCAGGCTGTTGATTTAAACCACCGCATAGATCGGCCATTGGGCGAGAGAGCCTGCGACTTTCGGAGGGCAGTAACGCAACAAACGCCGCCGATGAAATTAATCAACGGCAGCCCAATGGCGGCCCTGCCCCTGAAGAATGCGGTGTAGGTTATATTCCCACTTGGGACTACACTGTGAAAGGTAGTGGTGGTTAAAAAAAAAACGTCATCCTCCGACACGTCATCCAGTTCTTGCGCTCGCGAAGGCACGTCCTAATTGCAAAATTAGACGAACAGAAAGACAGACCCAGTCGCGAGTTGTGTAATTGCCCTCCTAGCTACACAACTCCAATTATTATGTTACAAAGTTAAAAAATACCAGAAATTAGGGGACGCCTGATCACTGAGCCCCCAAGTGATACGTGAGCCTCCATATGAGGCCCGCCCCATACCAGTGCGTGTGCAGAAAGTTGCAAAGATCAGATCCTAGTGCATCTCATGTGAGAGGATCCCCTCAACGGCTGGAGGCAGTCTGTGAACGGCCCCGGTCTATTCGTGGGGGAGCGGCATGTGCTGGAAACAGAGTCCAGCATCCCATGGAAAAGCATGACGCCCCAGGCAGGACAGGGCGGGGGCCAACTTTTTTTTAAAAGAGGTCCCTGAGTACTATCAGGGGTGATAAGAGCACCTCCAAATAGCACCCCCAGGTCCTCTGCTCACGTAGGACGGGGCCACTTAATCGTCATACGATAATAAGGACCCACCCCCTTGATGGCCCTGCCCATGTCCGGACAGTACTGCCCATGCGGGGATATGCCAGACGACTGGTTCTTGCAAATGGTATGAAGTGACGAGGGAGTTTTTTGTGACATGCAACTACGGTAGGCAGATTATGGACTGCCCTGTGGACACTCTTCAACTCCTCCCTGCTTCAATCCCTCTGCTTTTATTCTTGACAGTGACAACCATTGACATCTGGCCTGTGGAGACTCTCTGTCTCCCCCCTGCAGCTTTTCCTGTGTTCTGCTCCTTGTAGGAGCCATCAGTATCGCTGCCGCTATCCAGTGGCAACACGTGCACTGTCCTGAAGGTCACGGTTTGTCCTCCAGGCATGTTGTATATGGTTGGCAATAACTTTTTTTTTTTTAATAAGTAGTATTTCTGACTATTTCACTCATTTGCTTCCACTGGAGTTCGAACTCGGGTCGATATTTCATCAGTTCAGGGATGTTTGTGCCAACTGAGCTAGGCCCATTGGTTGATTGCCGAGATGCTCCCCCTACTTTTCCCCCCCCCCTGCTTCTTGAGATGCTCCCTTGTTAACTACCGTCTTCACCCGAATAGAACGCCTGGTCATTGCCGCTGTACCTAGACTAAAAGTTGCACCAAATGCGGCTGCAATGACCGGGCGTTCTATTCGGGGGGCGGGGGGGGGGGGAGACGGTAGTAGCTGTACCATATCTTCCATCTCAATTGGTTGTCTTCTGCTGCAGCGTAACTCCTTTCGAGGGCTCGCTCGTTTGCTGCAAACGTGTCGGGGGTTTGATGTCGGCAAATCCTTATTTAGTATTTACTATTTATTATTTACAATTTTAAAAGTATTTACTATTTATAAATCTGCATCATCAAATCTCTGCTCTGTTCAGAAATACCTCGATCAGCGCTAACCAGGTTGCTTTCTTTTTTTCCCATCCTTCTTTCCGTTTCCTTCTCTTTTTCTTGAATTTTTTGAATTTTTTTCCCCTTCTTTCTATAGGGCAATGGCCTTGAGATATTATCAGTTTTCATTGAACTGACCAGGTCCAGCTAATTCAGAATTTTCATTGTTTTCATTCATCCGGTTCCATTCGGATGCGAACACAGGTCTGTATTTCAACACTTGATGAGTGTAGGAACTGAGCTATATCTGGGCCCGATGGTGATCTATATCTCTGAGACGTGGGAACCGTGCTTCAGTCTTGTCTTGTAGGAAGAGGGGAAGGTTTATCGAAACTAGTATGGCAAGGGGAGAGGATTGCCGTGGGCAGGGGTGTGAGAACAGGGAGAACCACCCCCCAGAACCAGTTCGCTTCCGCACACCACAGCAGGCAGTGGACTATGTCCTCTATCCAGTTGTCAGCTGCATACGTTGCACATATATGATGTACTGTTGGGGTCTGAGCGCTTTCTACAGATGTGAAGCCTGCCTGCAAAAGAGAGAGAGAGAGAGAGAGAGAGAGAGAGAGAGAGAGAGAGAGAGAGAGAGAGAGAGAGAGAGAGAGAGAGA